AGTTTAATTGGTTGATTGTTTGTTGCTAATTATTAACGCCCAGTGACAAATATGTCATGCATGCTCAGGACTCGGTTCAAAACACGAATTTAAAAGTCAGGTAAATAAATAAAAACGAAGAAATGTATGATTGCTAATGAGGCAACTATCCACCGGAGTTCAAATATGAAGTGGATGTAAGCAATTATAGACAACCGTAATTAAGGCCTTCAACAATGACAAAACCCGATACTGTCAAAAGACCCGACGTGAAAAGTGTGCGAAACAATTCAAACGAGAAAACTTACGGCCTAATTATATATAACAAAATAATTTACAAAATATCAAATATGAGTCGAGACATGAACCAACGACAACAACTAAACTACAGGCTCCTGACTTGGGATAGACACACACAGAATATGGCAGGGTTGATATAAAAACGAAGATTGCCAATGAGACAACCCTCCAGAAGAGACCAAATGACACAGCAATTAACAGCTATAGGTCACCGTACGGCATTTAACAATAAGCAAAGCCCATACCGCATAGTCAGCTATAAAAGGCCCCGAAATCACAAATGTAAAACAATTCAAACGAGAAAACTAACGGTCAAATTAATGTACAAAAAAAATGAACGAAAAACAAATATGTAACACAGCAAAAACCGACAACCACTGAATTACATTTGACTTTGACTTTGGACAGAGCATACATACAGAATGTGGCGGTGTTAAACATGTTAGCGGGATCCCACTTTCCCAAATGATCACTCCACACAGATGCGTACTGCAGACATTCGTTTGTTAAAAATCATCTGATTCCGGGAAATAACACATTCTCTGAATGGTGCTATTATATATCCATCAGTCAGGGGATATGCTGGATCACCATAATGCAAAACATTTTTCCCTGTACAGTTGTCATGTGGATTCGCATTTGTGTTAAAATGTCACTTTCTCGCAACGACATTCCCGCGTCGTGCCGACGACCTTCTATAGGCCCAAATAAGTTGGAGATAAGCTCATTTGGTGTAACAATACTTTGAAATTTCAAGGCATGGGATCTTTTGTGGTTATTAAATACAAGTCTTTGATTTTCCTGTGGTCTGCATATTGGTCTTCCGGTACCATCGATAAAACCCCTAACAACTGTCTAAAGGCCCGTTTCGATCAATAATTGACTCGTCAAAAAGTTCTAAATGTTCTTGTGAGAGCCAGTTCCTGTTTAAGTCGGAGAGCAGATGACAATGGTTGTCATGTATATTATCAGGAACCTCATTGATTTTATAAGAGAGTTCTGCCTTGGATCTGCCAAAGATGGGTTCAAGATCTTCAAGTCAGCAAGGGTAAGCAAGTCGCCGTAAAACCATGCAAAGAGCGTCAGTCCCCCCTTGCCGTTGTACGATTACTGCATACAATTTTATGTGGAATACGGAGTGCACAACGAAGAATTTCAATATCATCTCTATCAAAGCGAAAAAAATAGAACGAAGACATTTATTGGCAATACGTATTTGCCTTCCGCCAATTGAAATAGACGTTGCAATGTGGTTTTTTCACGTACATGTACAAGTAAAATGTTGCTTAATGCATTACATTATAAAAATTATTTACGGGTACGTGTACTTCTATTCTTTCGTACGCGTTCACGTTCACGCACTTTTGTTTAACCTCTCTAACATAATGGATTTCGCAACAACTTCTACGCTATTATACAGTGTATATAGACAATAAAGGCCTTTTTTGTTTTTGATACTGACTTTATCACGGTAAAATATCAAGTGAGCCTTTAACGTGATAAAGTCAGTATCAAAAACAAAAAGTCCTTTATTCTTTTTATCGGTAGTTATGAAAAGAATTAAAATCATTACGATAGAGAAAAATAGCAAACGAACTGCTTTATCGCGTCGAATCACACTTGACGTCACATGCTGCATTACGTCATTTGAAATTTTATGACAGTGCAGTAACACTACTTTTGCATTATGGTGGGGCTGCGATTAAGATGGCGACGGTGCTGCAGCGAAACGCCTGGATTCTTAAGCGATGCCAAGTAACAAGAATGAGAACAATTAGGTATTTTTTTGGCAGAGGAAGCTTACAGTCATGATTGTTTTATTTTATTACTTTAAACATCACTTACGAAAGTTATTAGCATATATTTTTATACCGTCGCATGCTGCAGTTACTTGCTACAGACCCCCAAAAAATTACAGAAACGAATTGAAGGAGCATAAGAAAAGACTAGGATTAGGCATAAAAAGATCGCGCGACATTAATTAGACTTTGTACCGCTCCCACAGCTGTTAATGACAATAACAATCTTCGCTATGATTATGATACCCAGAGATCATGATTTGTCGTCCAAAACAAAATTATTTACTGTACCAGTCAGGATTTTAACCTTTGACCCCTTGCACAGTAAGCCACTGCTCTACCAACTCAGCTAAACAAGTAATCCACAAGCACATGGTTAAATATCTACTAGGTAAGGGGAAGCACGGCTACACTCCCCCAACTCAAGAGTCATGATGACATACCGACAATATCAACATCACTTACTCTGGCTGTTTGTTTTACTTCTAACCACCCTTGTTGTTTTTGTAGGGTGCCAATGGTAGAAAACATGATTTACCTGATGAAATAAAATACTGATTCATCTTGGATTTGAACCGAGGATCCCTGGCATAGTAAGCCTCTGCTATACAAACTGAGTAAAATAAGGACTCCAATAGCACAGCTGATGGAGGGCAGTTATTTATATCTACTGTATCGCTACACCTAAAAACGTTTGTAAGATCCAAAATGAATTACCACGGAAAATCTGTCTGTTATAAAATAATGGTGGCCTTTTTTTAGGAAAGCTTTACTGACCTGTGGCTTAGAGTTGTGAATAATCATGAAGATTGCTATAACATTTCTCAAATTTCAAAAACAGTTTATAACCTTGAAAGTAAATAATCAACACTGGTGATAGTATAAATGTATAAAATTCTGTATATTTTTTTGTCAAATCATTGATAACATTTGCAACTAACACTAGGTTTAGACAACTTGTATTAACCATGCAATTTTAGGAAAACTTGCTCACGTTTGGAAGTCCACTTGCACCAATTTTGAAGGCAACATAGACAAGTAGTGGTGAAACAATTCACAGAAGAATCGATGAACCGCAAAATATTTTTTTCGATTTGTTTCATCCGTATATATATGTAGATTGCAAGTGCTAAATTTTTATAATCGGCCACTAAAAACTCGTGTTATAAATTGTTTCAAATTTAACGTCTCTATGAAAATGGCTGGCATGTTGAATAATAGATATTTAAAATCTTTATGAATTTTAGCTACATTAAACAGCAGGTTTACTAAACACAAAACAACAACTAAGAAGAAAGGTTGTTCGCTATTTCACTACACAAGTGCATGTATTAATTTAAGGTTAGGTTTTAATTATGTATTGTTTCGAAATGTATCATATCATCGCCCTTGTATAGTTATATTTTTACAGCACTAGAGATGAAAAGACTACTTAAACCACTTATTACATTTAGGAAGCGATCTGGCTAATGAAAAGACAATCATAAGTCTTTTTTCTTATTTTCATTACATGTAAAAATACTTGCTATCTTAAACTGTAATTAAGGGATTATATCAAACTATGGTTTTATGAAGCATACTTTTGCTTTTTTCTTCTTCTGGTAAACAATGAATTGAAAGTAGAGTCAGTCGCTATTTTAAACTTTTCATCTTTAGTGGAAAATGGAAAAAACTAAAATCAATATTTTCAACAACTTTAAAGGGGCATTAGCTACGAGATATAAGAAACTAAAAGATGAATTTGTTTTGGTGAAATAGTGAACTAATAAATAAATTGGCTTTTAGCAGCCAATTTGGTTAAATTTTGTCAAAATAAGCTAAGAAACATCGATGATGAATTATTCACTTGCAAGTGAAAAATTCGACATCATTAAATCCGTATTCATGTGACCTCCAATTTAACCCCTAAGCAGGACATGGGTTACACATGTATTCAGCTATTAAAAGGAAAAGAATATCAACATTTAAAATGAAACAAGGCTAAACCATTTTGTTGACTGATTCGATCCACAAAAAATCATTCTTATACAGGTAAAAGCGATGATAAACATTCTTTTATACCTGCGATATGAAATCAAACAGACCTAAAAAAAAAATCCAATTGCACGTGGTCGCCATCTATTTATATTCATGTTTATATCGGATCATATAACCGTTGGCAGTCTTGGGAGGTTATCTCGTTGGTTCATTAGATGACGTATAGACAAAAATACACACGAGTCCATGCATTGTTAATTGTTTATTTTAGACTTTTTGTAATTTGGATATACGTTTGAGTATGTTATAAATCAAGTGTGAGAATTTGAGTCAAATCGGTGAACATGAATTTCACAGCTAATACCCCTTTAAAGTACACGCGTAGTGGCATGTCAACTCCGAAGTACTGACCTGCAAGGCCGGTGATATGATCTAAAAACAAACAGACTGGAATACCTAGAAATGTATTGGTCCAATTGTAATAACTGTACTTATGTGGTAGCATTTGATGTATCAGATACACATTTCGCTAAGTAAATATAAAAATATTATTTGTAATCAATGACAGCTCCAAAAAAAGAAGGGAGTCTATGTGTGCATAAAAGACGGCTGATCATTACTGCACAGAAGTTATAATTGCTTCACAGGTAAAAGTCCGTTTGGTTTTGGCATACGACCTTCTTTGCACTTTGCAATTTGCAGTGTCTAATCGTTGTTATTATGCATGAACAATGATAGTTATAATACCTTATCACCTCATTCAATTGATGATTAGTATCATCTGTTTAACATTAAAAGTAATTCACGTATCGTTAGTGCATTTACATGGAAAAAAAGAGAAATTGTAGCTTGAAAGGCTTAAATATGAATGTAGCTGCAAAATCAATGCATGGATCGGAATTTAATTCAAGTCTTTTCCGCAGTAAATAAAAAAAAACAACAAGATTTCTGTACTTATTTTATCTAAACACAATTTAATATTTCAGTCTTCACTAGTTACATCATTTCGGCACAGACACAGTTTGCCCAAGCAATTACTGCATCTGTTGTTTCTTCACAGGTTGCAATAATTTGATCTTCGGGTAAAAGATGTCCAAATGTCCCTTTGTCTCGCAACAAAACTTCGTACGGAAACTTAATTCCTGCTGCTTTTGCATAATCTGATGAAAGGCCACCTAAGGTAGATCTTTCTGAAGTCTGCCTCGAACTATACACAACTCCATTCCGAGCTGTCGCTGCTGATGCTGCAGCTTTAGCGCATTTATCGAGGGTGGGTTTATCAGGTACCGGATCTTTCGTAAATCCCCAAGGATATATCCACAGTTGGCCAAAACTTTGTATACTTAGATAACCAATAAAAGCCTTTTTCAACATAAGTTTTCTTTCTGCCTGACTTTCTAGTTCACTGAAAGGGAACGGACCAGAATAAAGCTCATTGCAAGGATTTCTGGAACCACCGTTTTCTGGATTCCACTGCTTTCCATAATTTCTATTTAGGTCGGTGCCTATGCATGTTTCATTAAACGGGCTTCTGTTTTTTCTCCAAAGACGCTCAAAATTCTTTGCGTATACATAACCATCTGGATTTAAGACGGGTATCAAGTACCAGTCAAACTTTTTGACAAGGTAAAACCCTGCTTGAGTGGTTTTTAGGAAATTAAGAAAGTACAAAACAAATGCATGTGAAATAAAATCTCTGGGATGTATTCCACCGTCAACTAGAATAGCCTTTTTAGATTTTCCCTTACAGCTCCGACATCGTGTCTTCCGCTTAGTAAACATCTTCACCATGTAAATACTTCTCTTCTCGAAGGTTTTACCGATGATCTCAACCTTAGACCTAACCGTGCCTTGGTTACAATTAAAAGTTGCCAGGTACTTTTCTATTTTATCCAATGCATTGTACTTGTTAAAATCAAAGGCAAAGCCTATTTGCAGCAAGAATGCTACACAAATTATTTGGTTCATCTTCCAAATTCTGAAATTATAAAAAACAAAAACAAGGTCCTTTGTATGTACTGATTAAAATTGTTTCAAAAATGTATCAAAATTATAAGATAGTTATAGTTGCTATATTAAACTTATATCGCATAACACACGGTCTTAGACATAGAATGAAAATCGTCAGTTGCTTACTCAATACTGATAGTTTTTCAAGTCTGATTACCTCATAGTTGATACGATATTCCAGGGCTTGTGTTATCATGATTATCTACAATGATGTTATCGCAAGAAAGGTTCCAAATCGTAAAATTGAAGTCATATCTTCGAAAGTTTTATTAACGCTATCATGGGTCGGTTGACCGTTAAAGATTATCATTGTCACAGATGATCACAGATATGTTCCACTGGTCGTTCTTATAATCACGTCCTCTGATCCTCACGAAGGGCACAACTCGTAGAGCATCATATCACATAAGTTCATCCCGGTTATTTGGTTGGGTTCGTCTTGCTAAATCTTTAGTTTTCTGTGTAGTGTTTTGTGTACGGTTGTTTGTATTTTCGTAGTTTTCTTTTTGACCATTGTGTTGACAGTTTTCTTCGACCCATGGTTTTATACCCCCTCCCCTTTCCCCCATCAGTATTCACTGTCCGACAATCACTGTAGACACAGAATATCTGAAACAGTTAATTCTATGTCATACATAAAAAAAAACCAACTTTTAATTATTAAAAAAATAGAGTAAAAAATTTCCATCTCTTGCATAGCTGTTCACTTGTTTGCCCCTTTCTATCGTCTAAACTTTTTCTCTACGTAGAATCGATTAGGGAAAATGAGGCGGAAGACCGACGGAATATTAATAATTCATAAGTCTAGAGAAACTGACAACGCCATGAAAAAAAACGAAATATGACGAAAAAAAAATAAAAAAGTTCATAAAACACTACATAGAAAACTAAAGACTCAGCAACACGAACCCAATAAAAATCCAGGAAGATCTCAAGCGCTTCGGAATGATAAACAGATCCCGCTCTTTTAGTGACGCTCGTCGTGTTACTCATGATAAAAACAAATACGGTAATGAGGCTCTATCGGTGATGTCACAATCGATTAAAAGAGGACAGGGTTGTGGTTACGGCAGTTGGAACTATTCGTGTCATTTTGGGGCCCTTTATAGCTTGCTGTTCGGTGTGAGTCAAGGCTCCGTGTTGAAGGCCGTACTTTGACCTATAATGGTTTACTTTTGCAAATTGTGACTTGGATGGAGAGTTGTCTCGTTGGCACTCATACCACATCTTCTTATATCTATATATGACATAGATATTCTACAACTATCAAATAACTCGTTACACCGTCCGTAACACTTTCGAAGTGATGACCTAAACTTAACCACAAGGAACCCCCACTTCAATAGCTTCCTTGTTATATATATATATGTTTAAAAACTATGTTGTTATTTTCAACAAAATGTTAGCAAAGTGTACATGGTAAATTCATGGATGTTAACTTAGCTTGTCAAGAAATGATGGATTTCATACGTGTTTTTTCACTAGGACATCAATTAAAAATGCCTTCTAGCGTTTCAAATGTAAAAACATTATATTTTACAAGACAATAAGAGCATATTCCAGTGTACTGAGATATGTTCAGCTTATTACAAGTACAAGCTAACCAGACAACTATCCATCAAAACCTAATTGAAAAGGATAAGTTAAACTATTCGACTGTGTAGTCGGTACATATTTAATCTTGTTTGTTTGTTTGGTAAAATATCAATACTTTGTCATGTGTGTAACGTCATTGTATTTTGTACACACTCAATAGATAATTTTAGTTCTTAATGATGATTGTGATTGACAAATCATTCAAAATTGATTTTTCAAAGCTGCGCACTGACAGTTCCATCCTGATATCCATAGTATTTTAAATGTTTGGATTAGATACACTGGTAGCATGTCTTCAATGTCTATCCATCATATGAATAAATAAGGAGATAAAAGGTTCTTCTTTTGGCAAGTAATAACATATGGTGCATAGATGACACGATTTCATGTCCATACAAACGAAGTGTGTGTATCGGTTTGTTTTTATGATAAGTTTCAAAGCCTGTTTAAAATCTGAACACAAATTGTAAGGTAAACTAAATATAACTATAGGTAAAAGATATTAAAAGAAAATAACACTTTATACAGTTGTTGTGTGCCACGAAATACGTATGACAAACTCTCAATTCATTGAGGCGTAGAAAGAGGATTGCCACATTCTCGAGGGGTACAGTAGAAACATTTTTTAAAGCTTTTATAACTGGAAAATTGTTATTGCCGAAAAAAAAGTTGCTTCGCAACCTTTCTTGTAGCCTCAATAGCTCCCAGTATTTGTCACTTTTGTTGAAAATGTATCCGCGTTTTGACAAGTAAATACATCTCACAGAATCATCAAACACTGCCACTGTGGTTTTTCTATCAATCGAATAATATGAAACGCATCGTACCTTTATCGCAAAGACTGGAAGAAAATCATCCTTTGAATCAATACAGAACCCCTCCCCCTTTTGACTCCTGGATCGCAGACATTTGTAATATAACACAAAGTTAGCTTACTGTACTATCTTATTTCAGTAGTATTGGGTGGCTAGGTTTTATTTAAGACTGTTGTGACTAATGAAGGCATTTGTTCATTTGACACTTTTTTTCAAAATTCATTCAAATGCTGTTTACATATTACATGAAAAAGTTTTAGCTTTATTTTAATTTTCGTGATAATAATGATAGAAATAATAATTATTATAATAATCTAAACACACCCATGAGAAGCATTTTTCGCTACGTGTTCCAAGGAATTCGAATCGCTATCAACTTTGATGGAAAGGCAATACTACGAATGTCTATAAGCAAGCAAAATACTAACTCTTCTGGGTAGACGAGTATCATTACATGTTTTAGGCTGTACTCACTCGTTTTGTGTAAGATTAAATATTCATTTATCTTTCTTAGGACTTGCTTGTTCTTATGTCAATCCCTATTCTTACCTCCTCTAGTTTGTTTGAAAAATTACAATGTTCTTTTCGAAATATTCTGTTGTACATGTATTAATCCGATTGACTTTGTATTGTTCTCTTATCTGATATTTAACAAACCTGTTTAGATAGTGTTCTATTTTCCTTGGTGAGATATTATCAATGTGTTTTGTACATTAACATGACTTTGTAATTACATAATCATGGATTGTATTGAATAACAACTTAGTATGAGACATCTGTCATAAAAACCTTTATTTTTAACATGTCGTTTAACGCTTGCCTACACATTATTGTAAATCATATGACATTTACATTTTATGTCTTAAATTTAGCCAAGCAATACGACACAACTTTTTTTAACTAAATTTCATTTCTAATATACCGATACTATTAAAACAGGAAATTACATCGGAATTCCAACTTCAATTTATTTTTCTACTGGCTGCATACCTCTCTTAAACTTGCCAATCATCCGTATATGTATGCAGCTAGACCAAAGAAATTCAGGGGAATAATTTCAAAGGAATCGATTGATATGCAGCAAAGATTAACATTTTTGAAGTTTTTAAGCAAATTCTAACGGACCGTTTCCCCATGCAAACATTGAATGTGACGCAATCGAGAAGACTGCAAATACATGGATAGTAATCATTGGGGAAATTGTTCATCATGGGCCCTTTTATTGGAATGAAAACATCTTATCTTATGACAAAACACAGAAACGGAGAGCCAGTTTACATTTTGTTTTGTACAACCATCAATGAAGTCTTTTTCCGAGTTAACTGAGCCTGCTGTACTCGTCGTTAACAAGCTCCTGGAAGAAATATTCTCGCTTGAAAAAGAATGATGGTAGTAGTAATTTGTGATTTTTTTCTAAGAATCATGTATCTATTTCCAGCATTTTTTGTTAAAACGTTAAAAGTTACAGAAAGCGTATAAATGGATCATTAAAAGGGAGAGGTCAATCTAGGCTTAAGGTAAAATACGTGATTCATGTAAACAAGTATGAATACAGTCATTTCAGACATAATCCCCGGAATAACAATTAACCACTTCGTGACGACGACCGTATAACATTCGTAGTGATGCTTCCGGTTTAGGATGAATATATTTCTGACCGAGGTTAAGTTGGTAGCGATTGTGATACTGTACTTGATTCACGCTCTTTAGGAATGGGCAGACTATTACAAGTACACCCATATTAGATTTAGATTTGTTGCGTTCTTATAAAAAGAAAGATAATTCACAAGTAGACCTTAATACTTTGATAGTGTTTTCAGTATACATTAGTGGAACAGGAACTAGTTACCCGCGCCTTGGATTTGAACTAGCACCAATAACTCAAACGTAGTAACGGACCATCTATGAAACATTCCTACAATATCCAAATTCAATAAACAAGGAGATTTTTTAGAAGATCTTTTTCAATTTCAGGCAATCAGTCCACACTTTTGGCACTGGTAGCAATTTCCCCAATGAACACCACAAACTCGGCTTTGTAAAATTCCTTCAAGGTGAGATTTCTGCCATGTTTTTTTTTCTTATTTGCAGAAGAGGATTAAAATGTAAAACAAATTACAGACGGCGATGGAATCAAAATGGTGATATTACCTTACAGGACCTTTAAGGTCATGTTAGCTAATATGTGCAGTATATATACTTTTCGTGTTTAAAAAAAAGTTTAAAAATATATAAAATTAATATTAGCAAAATTTTAAATACAATATATGTGTTCATGATTCTTCATGTCTGGTAGAAGTCAATTATGGTACATTGTAAATTGTGTTGATTAAAAGAGATGTGAAATGAAAAAAATAGTGCCGAAATTTTGCTAAGTGGAGAAAAATATAAATAATAATCTCTTTGACTGAAAATGATATTTAAGATAGGAGTATGCAGATGTTGATATGTGGCAGTGCTGTAATTACTGGAACACAAACATGTTAAATAATTTTGGAAGTCTTTTAAGGTGCAACCATTAAATTTAAAGGGATTGGGAGGACGTTAAATGCATATTCTGGCTTGATAAGAACTGAAATAAATACATTTCCCATGACAGAATGAGAATAAATATTCTGTTCACAAAAGACAGGACTAAGTCATGTAGAATATTGAAAAATTTCAGCTTTCCAGCAATTATTGAAAATAAATTCTGCATTTTTCTGTTCCTATATTTTCAGGCGGATCCCCGAAAAATCAAAAGGTCGTTCCATTAAGCCTTGTGAGTTCGACCTTTTAACTAAAAAGTATGAATGACCATCTGTCCGAGAACTTTTCATTGGACAGTACAGATGATTTAAACTCAGGTTAAAAAATGCTTGCCATCATATTTCAGTTAACCATTCTCTGTGTGTAAATCAAAATTAAACATTCATCTTCTATTTAGATGAGTAACATAAGAAAACTGTTTTGTTCAACTAGAAGTAGAATACTTAAACAGTCCATATTTGTGCCTCAATAATGCCTAATGCAAACAGTTAGATATAATGGAGATCATGCAAAATGCTTCAACCACTGAGTTACAGTTTATATTCATTTAACACTTTGGTAACCGGTTGTGTGTTGACAAATCTAAATTTCATCAATAATGTTTAACAATGAAATGATCTCAATGCATATTGCATTAAAAATGTCGATTTGGAATACTGCTTATTAACAATTTAAGAATATTATTTCGCCTACTTGAATGTAATAGTAACATAGCATTTCTTTTATAGACTGAATTGTTATGAATAAGACAGCTTGATATGCGGCATGGGTGTTGCTTATTGTGAAATGCTGTACGGTGAATTATAGTTACTATCTTCTACGTCATTTAGTCCCTGATGGTCAGTTGCCTCATTGGCAATTATACTAAATTCCTTATTTGATATTAAATATATAATATCTCCAATCATACAATAAAAAACAATCAATGATTGAGTATTTCAATACTAACTTAAGGTATTTAAATATTTGCGCAATAATCAATTGCGTGTAAGCTTTTTAAACAACTGACCCTGACAAAATTTACACACATATAGACGGTGTATAAAGTCATCATATTAACACAACTATTTCAAAGATAAAGTAAGTTGTTTTATTATTTATGAACGGTTTAGTCATCAGGTAAGCACTGTTAACTTTTTCGATTTTGATCATTATTATTTAGCATTATTTTGATTAAACCTAGATATAAAGTTATAACTAGGTGCAATTGAAAAGAGAGAGAGAAAAAAATCAAACAGTTAGTCTGGTAGCTTTATGTCAACTAGGGTGTAGGAATATGACTACTTTTTTTCGACAACGAATTCGAATTGAGAAGACTGTGCACTTGAAAAGGCGTCAAGGAGATTTGGGATTAACAACAATACGGACTGGGTTTGAATCAGTTCGGGAGATTGAAATGTAACACACTGTATGTTTGAGACTTTACTTCCAGTTACTGTTTGTTTTCTCAGTTGATTCAATCTATAGAATCATTTCCGAAATTCAGAATATGTCTCAAAATAGAAAAGAGAATGTAAACGAGGAATTTGTTAAAGAGACAACAACCCGACCAAGAGCAGAAAACAGCCCAAGGACACCAATGGGTCTTCAAAGAATCGTGAAAATCCCGCACATGGAGGCGTGCTTCAGCTGGCCCTTTAACAATAATAAAGGTAACATTCAAAACTCACAAATCGAAGAAAAACTGACAACGTCTTGGCAAAAACAAAATACGACGGAAAAACAAACAAAGCTCTACATCAAAACTAAAGACTGAGCAACACGAACCATACCGTAAACCTAAGCTGAATTCAGGTGCTTCGGAAAGATAAGCAGTTCCGCTCCACATGTCGTGTTGCTCGTGTAAGTACCAACCAAGTGATAAGTCACAATCAAGGACAAACTTGATAAAACTTTCGACTTTAACCCTTGGAACCTCCTGGTACCAAGGATATTTTCAAATTGTCATAGCCACACAACCGTCTTCCTTTGTTTATTAATGAAATCGCCAAATGCAACCAATAACACCATTTTTACTTACCATGAACAACATGACGAGTGTCACACTTGGAACAGAAACTGTATGAAACATATGAGACAGAAACCAAGCTAAACGACAGAAAAAGCTGACAACATATCTACTGGTCAACATATGGTCTGCAACAAAAGAAAAGTGTCTTTGAAATGTGTCAAGCTTTAAATCGTGCTCGGTGACAAGTAGGGATCCATTTAACAGAGATTATGAAATTAAATGTTACCGTATTCTGTGGATAAGTCTAGAGGTTACCATCCACTCATTAGTAAGAACGTCGGCGATGGCTTTAATTTGTTACATTATGAAATGCGTTTTTATCAAATTTCACATGATTAACATTGCTCCTCGTGTATTTATGCACCCTTTCTCAACCAATTTTTGCTTTGAGCGTTTCTTTTTAAAGTTGATTTTTTTTTATTATGATCTACTTTGATAAGTTATGAAAATATTATGTTTCCATTGTACAAAAATAAGTACTTGAAATGTCGAAATTATACGTTCGTAACCTTTTTTCTTAAATCACTCCGAATTCTCAAATGTAATGTCAGAAAATCGATTCGAACAAATATCCTAACAAATCAAGCTTTTTTAACTGAATTTTACTTCTAATCTTTCGTTGTTTTCATGTCATATGTGTTTCATTGCAGTCTTGTCATTTGTTTCCTGGTTTCTTGACATATAACGATGTTTTCGTTGTCATTAAATCTTTAAAAAAAAACGTCACCAAAGGTACCGGACTCTTTTGAGGATTCGGAGGAAGCATTTGTTGTAAGGATTTTGTTCCTATTCATATCCTGCTTGTTGATATATTTTAGACGTGTTTTCGTCTTGATTTGGCATGAAATATGTGTCGCTTGATGTGACGCTTCCATTCAACAAACAATATTGAATATTTTGCAATAAATTATATTATAGTGAGTTTATCAACCCATTATTTTCAATCCATAATCACATATTATTCTCCTGTATTTTTTTTTACTATTAATAAATTCAAATGTATCGCAACTGTCGATATGAGACAGAAACCTAAACATCAGAAAAAAGGAACAAAACATCTACAGGTTAGAATACGGCCTTCAACACTAGACAAGTGTCTGTGCCATGTGTCAAGCTCTAAATCGTCCTCGTTGATAAGTTGAAATCAATTTTACAGAGACCAACAAATTAAATAATAAATGAATCAAATGTTGTGGATTGGTCTAGAGGGTACAATCTGTGCATTGGTAAGAATGTCGGCGATGACCATGCATAGACTTTGTTACATAATGAAATACATTTTGAAAAAAAATTACTTGATTAACTTTGTAATTTTGCATAAACTATGATTAAGGTGACATTATGGACATTTTTTAATTCTTGTGAATGTATGCACCTTTCCTCAGTCAGTTTTTGTTAATATTTTTAAAGGCATCATCTTTATTATATATTATAAAAGCACATTTTCATTGTATAGGAGTTGACTAAATTATGCGTTTGTACCTTCTCCATCAAAAGCTCCTCACTATTAGTCCGATTTCTCAAATTTAATGTCAGAAAATAGATTCGAACACAAAATCAAGTTAAATTTCTTAACTAAATTTATTAATTTAACCGTTCCTTTTGATTTTTCTTAATACCCAAATTCGATAAAAATATTTTTAAACACACTTTATTCTTGGCATTGAATGTTACAATATCGAAGTCATGTTTAGTCTATCGAGATTAAGAACAGCAGACTCACATAATGACGGAACCTCCTAAATAAATGATATCTTGTTAAATTTTTTTGCGTCTTAAATATTACTGAAGTGGTTGAACAAAGAAAAAATACCTATAACTATAATATATACATTTCAGTAATGGCACTATCACCCATAGATAGTAAAACGTTCTTTACGTGTCCAGAACATGAATCAGAGATAGCAAGGTTCTTCTGTGAAGATGATCATGTGATGGTATGCGATGACTGTATCATAGGAAGGCACTTTGGTCATAAAAAAATCAAACTTAAAGATTATCTCAGCAACAAAAGGCAACATTTGATACAGAATGTAAAATAAAATTAGATATAACAAACTTCCTAACATACAGGATGCATTGGAGAAGGCACTGAAAGGCAAAACAGATTTTAATAATTCTGTCGATAAACAACTTAAGAGGGTAAAACTTAGAGGAGAAATGGTAAAGAAAGTATTTGACGAATTACAAGATGATTAAGTCCAAAATTTTAAATCTGCTAGAAATGCTGCGAACGAGAAGTTTGACAGATTTTCTACTCGGCAGCAATTAAGAATAAACTTAATCCAAGAAACTATAAATATTGTGGAATCTAGAAGTTCGGACATGTTGGATGCAGAGGTAGTGACCTATGATGAAAAACTATCATCAAATCTGACGGATGATCCGTACTGGGACGTAGCACCGAGGATTCAACCACCCAGACATCAGTGCCAGGATGATTCAGTACAAATAGGTAAATTGCAGACTATCCTTGGCTACATGAAATCAGGGACTTATGCTGAAGTTGCTGAAGTTGATATTCTTCTTAGGCAAAATGCGGATCAAGACAGAAACGCAGAAACACAAGAGGAAAACTGAAGTGATTCTTGTCCAGGATCAATTTTAGTTGAAGAAAGATTTTTTGGCTGTTAAAACGTTTAAACGTACTGCCAAAGTTACCCATATTATACCAAAGCAGAGTTTACAAGCATGGCTAATTCACAGCGATATCGAAGAAGTAGATTGTAGCACGGGAATGGTAAAAAAAAAAAATAATAAAAACTATAGAAGCGAAACCACAGTGTGCCGCCCGTAATAATTCAAACGAGCTTATCATTAAGATGTGGACCAAGAAGTCACTAAAGCAGCTGAAATATGATGTACAATTCGGATTCAATTTCTTCTCTAAAAATAGAAATTATACCCTTGGATTTTTAAGAACACCGCACCTTCTCAAACTGTGTGTTTATGTACCAGTAAATCTGCGTCTGTTAATGGCGACGTTACAGTATGCCTTGTCGAAAAATCAGCATCTGACCAATATCCAGTCAAGAATTCAATTATTCGACGATATGCAAATGACAAAACACAGCATGAGAGTGATCTTGTTTTGTCGGAATTCTTTCAATATGTTGAATGATTACCTTTGTTCATGGTAAAGGGGAAATGAAATTTAGATATCAGGCGGTCGATCTGAAGGCTGCCAACCGAATTGATAATGAATTTGTAGGTGCTGGATTTTTATCTGACGGAACAGTTACAGTGTTAGATAAAGTAGGTTTTAGACAACATCTACTTGACAAAAAAGGCTTGTTACTTCAAACAGATACACACGAGAGTCAGCCTGCATGCTTGGCTATTGCTCCTAACGATCATGTCTGGATCGGTTTTGATGATGGACAATTTAAAATATTTGCATATAGAAATGAATATTCTGAGATTTTATTAAGAGCTTAAAGCATGAGGAAAACAATTTAGAATCAAACAAAGAAAGAAAACTATGCATGTTAACAGTGGTTTCATCATCAATGCAATCTAAAATTGTGAGAGATGGATAACATAATTATGTTAACCTTTCATTATTCAAATTCTTTGAAGGACGCATAAAATGTGTTTATAAATTTTGTTCTATATAAATCAGACTTTCCACGGCTGCCATTCGGTATATCTAAACAAATAATAGTAAAAGAATAAGTCACGGTTATCAAGTATAATAATTGCGATCGGATCTTGAACTTTTTGGTGTGGGATTGTGAATACAATAGAAATACTTCAACTTCAAAATCTGTGGATATATCCATTATGTTATCAAACGATGGATCAAATGAAAAAAAAATATGTCTGTCAAAATTATAATTATTTTTCAATAGTACTGCGTATTTTATTAAGGGAGATTAACTATATACCGCCGTTTTTGGATTGTAAAAAAGCAGTACACAATAGTTCTTTGCTAAAATCAGCAAATATTTAGACAGATTGACAATTAATGTACTAGACTGTTAGTTTGAATAAAGAAAAATAAGTGATTTAATGCATTATTCATACTGTTTCAACAAATACTAAATACTTGTTTTTGTTCGATGCAATTTTTCAACTTAGCCATATAAGGGGTGATAACTCTTAAAGTAAAATTTTTATACTGGAATGATAGTGAAATTTTCATGTTTAACTTGTAGCAAGAAAACAAGTTCGACGACACCATGTTTTCTTATATGTTCTTAAAATTCCTGGAATACCAACTTCAATTTATTTTTCTACTGGCTGCATACCTCGCTTAAACTTGCCAATCATCCGTATATGTATGCGTCTAGACCAAAGAAGTTCAAGGGAATAATTCCAAAGGGATCGATTGATATGCAGCAAAGATTAACATTTTTGAAATTAAGTTTCTAAGCAAATTCTAACGGACCGTATCCCGATGTGACGCAATCAAGAAGACTGCGAATACATGGACAGAAATCGAGACGACCCATGCTCAATACCACAAAGAAGACATATCTTTATCCTAAATTTATATATTATAAAAGAGAGAAGGTATAGCACTAGATGAGCATTAACATTATCTAAATTATGTTCAGTTAATGTCAAATTCATGTGAAAGCTCGATTCATGCTAATTCCACATGAAATTTTCATGTGCAAGCTTACCTTACTTTCACGTGAAATTAACGGAAAGGAGATGTGTCTGTGTATGTTAAATAATTCTTTCATACCAATCGCTTTGGATTGAGTGCTTTGGATCAAGGCAAAAAATTTGCTGTTTTTATAATTGAACACACTATAAGTAGTGATATTAAAGATGAAGAAAACCGAATTAGTAATAGACTTAAATATCCTGGGTAGAACGGTTTCTGTTTCATGGACATTTAACTAACATTTCCTTTAATTCAAATTATGTATTTTAAATGGATTCTGCCTTACTACCCTAAAATTAGTTAGCTCTTCTTTCAAGGTCTAATGCTGTCCAAATTTTTATGCAATATTAAAACCATGCGAAGAACAAAAAGAAACACATCAAAGTTCAGGTTCTAATTTCCTGCCGTTGAATAAAAAATACCAATATTGGTATTGCTGGTTTAAACCGATAGCCAGCTATCTAAAATGCAAAGTAATCTAAAGCGTTATAATTGCATTTTTTTCAAAGGAGTTGAAACTTCCAAATTGATGTTTTAGAATATAAAAAAAAAGGAGATATGGTAATGATTGCCAATGAGACAACTGTCCATAAGTTCAATGAAGTTGATGTAAACAATTAAAGGCAACCGTACGGCCTTCAACAACGAGAAAAGCCCATACCGTATAGTCGGCTATAAAAGGCCCCGACATGAAAAATATGAAACAATGGAATTGAGAAAACTAACAGCCTATAGCTAATTCATAACCAAAAAAAAAAACAAAAAAAAAAACAACCAAATATGACAGATATGAACCAACGACAACCACTGAACTAAAGGTTCCTGACTTGGAACAGGCACATAAAGAATGTGGCCGGGGTTTAACAGTTTGTGAGGGCTCAACCCTTCCTTAACCTGGGACAGTGGTATTAAAGCACAACATAAGAACAACTATAAAAATCAGATGAAAATATTTTTAACTCATCTGATGAATACAGAGCAGAAAAATATCTCACAAAAACACAGACCAGACGGGGCAGGATATTTATACATCCATAACAACAATAACTACATCTGTATGGTTTTCGATTCAACTTGGGTATCATCTGCAGAAAGTAATTCGTGGAATTTCCCTGCAAAGGTTATCTCTTACAAAAATATGAAAACAACACGTTATAAATTTCATACGTTTAAAGTGCTTTTCTGGATTTACGAACATAAACAGTTGAAGAGCTATATGACCAAAAAAGACATTAAAAAAGCCAAGTTGGAAATAAAAACTTGGGTCTGATCCATTTGTCCGTAAGAACACTAAAATAGATTAAAACTAAGGTTTACTTAGATAAAGGGAAATATCCTAAAATTGATTAAACTAAGCTAAGATTTATGTTATAAAAAGATCTTGAAATGTGTGCACTTTCTTTAAAATTACTTTCAAAATTTTACAAATTATCATGGTATCAGAAGAAAGTGTTCTATCTTTAGGAGAATCGTGTGAACTACATTACAGACTTCATTGTAATTTAAGTGTTTCAAAAAAGTAACTAGTCAAAAATAGTTATGACCCCGCACTGTTGCTTCCAGCAAAAGTTTTAATATTTACGACTGCATATATAATCTATTGTTTTAATTGTATTATAAAAACAAGGAGATGTGGTATGATTGCCAACCATCAACCACAGAACAAGCTTAAGGATCCTCGGTATAACCATAATGTCTAACGTTAGACGTCGACAAAACCGATTTAACCCCGTCACATTTATATGTACCTCAGTCCCAAGTCGGACAAGTTCATGTCATAAATTAATATGTCTTAGTGTAGTTATATATTTAGTTTACTGAACAATATTATGACATTGTGCTGTACAGCTGGGTAGTATTCCTTTTTTATATTTTTGTCAGAACCATTCAGCGCTTATTGTATGGTATGGACTGCCAAACATTGAAGACTGTATGTTAGTTTTGTATTTGTTGCTGATGATAGTTTGGCTGTCTTCATGACATTTTTTTCCTTAGCCGTTTTTCACACACATCAACAATGAAAAAATCATAGCGCATGGAAAGCTATAGAAGTGTACTTGATAACTAGTGAAACTAATCGTAAGAAAAAATCGTCCTGATCTACATCAAAACATTGAAGAACACCATTTATGATCAGACGACAAACAACGACAATCAAAAACTAAAAGTCCTGGCCATATAGTTCATCAAAAGAATCTCCAATGCCTTAACGGGTTGAAATGAAAGAAGAATTGCAGCCAAATAAAATACCATCTTATGATATTTGTGATAGCATAACAGATAAATTTTCAATTAGGCTTTGAATATGACTACAATTTTCAGTACTTAAAAACTTAACTTTACAGTACTGTAAAATGACTGAAATTTTCAGTACTGCAAAATGAATAAAATTTTCGGTACTGAAAACAACTTTTTTCTCAACAGTACTAAAAACATGCATATGATTAAATGTACTGAAAAGATATTGGTAAGAAATGCACTTAAACATTATATTATATCAGTACTGTATATGTAGTGACATTAAAAGTACATGTAAAAGTTACGTAAATTCCTGGTAGTGTAATAATTATAAGTCATGTCCGGTGAAGGAGGAAAGACATCTATGGCAATTGGACAACATTTAAGACAGTTGAAATAATTATTAAATTATTCAGTTCAAGATCTGATGTCCTCAGAAAGTAACAGTATTACAAAAAGTCATAAATATGCTGCAATTCAAAATGAGTATTACCTGTCTTGGTGAACAGGAAAAAAACCCACTTCAGCAGTTGATAAATTAAAGAAATGTCAAAGTACACGTGGTAAATCAAGTTCCATACCATCTTGTTTTGATCAATATTGTCGGAACCTATGATTTTATGTTTACAAAATAAAAAAAAATAAAATAAAATGGTTCGCCTTTACTTTTCAAGCTTAGCCTAAAAAATTTCCAAATTAAATTTTTTTTTATTAAATTTTCAAATCGCTCGCTCGCCCCCATTTCTGGAGTGGAAAAATCCGAGGAACAAGACATTAAATTGGTGTGGTTTGACACAGTTTAACAAATAATTAAAAGATTGTTATCCGAATAATTTTAATTTTTAAAGTATCGTCACCGGCATTGTTTTACTATTGATTTTTCCTGGACTTTTTCATAAGAAGAGTGACTTTTCTATTGTTCTCGTGTCATCGGTTTCGCACCTGTAACTATCAAAGGTATAGCGATGATAATTAGTACTTCCGTTCACAATGAATTTTCAACAATATCAAGAATCTTCAAAAATATGAAGAATCTGACAAGAATTTTAGAAATTGAATGTTTCTTGTTATTTTGTTTCCTTTTATACCGTCTTTAAATTAAAAGACAAATATATACCATTCATGCATGTGATTATGGATATTTGACTCAACATATGACATTAATGTTATTATATATAATCTGTTTTATTAATAGATATAAGAAGATGTGGTATGAGTGCCAATGAGACAACTCTCCATCCAAGTCAAAATTTATAAAAGTAAACCATTATAGGTCACAGTACGGTCTTAACACGGAGCAATGGCTCACACCGAACAGTAAGCTATAAAGGGCTCCAAAAACTACTAGTGTAAAACCATTTAAACGGGAAAACCAACGGTCTAATATATATAAAAAACGAGAAACGAGAAACACTTATTAAGACTATTTTACACATAACTATGGCTTTGATCTGGTTGTGGCTTAAGTTTAGATAATAAAGTATGGTGCTGATATTTTTATATACTTATGATTGTCAAAATTATTTGTGTCTCTCAATTATACAATCTCTGTAATAAATTACTTTGCTCATCATGGGCCCTTTTATTGAAATGAAAATATCTTATCTTATGACAATACACAGAGACGGAGAGCCAGTTTACACATATTCAACCTCGGCACAGTTTATAATATGTACATGAAAGACATGTAAAACTCGAATTTTCATAATATCGAAATAAAACGTGAAATGTTTTGGAACAAAATGATTTCTTAACTTGGTATAGGTTCTTTAAATTTAATGGAGAAAATGTGGATTTTAAGGTGGTTTAACGAGGTTTTAATGGCGCGCTAATTTGCTCCTTGTGCGAATATACAGTTAGTTCCAAGGTATTTATGACATAAGAACGAACTTTTAACCATGATTTTCCTTTGTACAACCATCAAGTCTTTTTTTCAATTTAACTTCATCGCTCCTGTAAGAAATATTCTAGCTTGAAAAAGAATGATGGTAATATTTATTTGTGATTTTTTTTCTAAGAATCATGTATCTATTTCCAGCTTTTTTTTGTTAAAACGTTAAAAGTTACAGGGAGTGTATTAATGGATAATAAAAAGGGAGAGGGCAATCTAGTCTTTAAGTAAAATACGTGATTCATGTAGACAAGTATAACTACAGTAATTTTAAGACACCATTCCCAGAATAGCAATTGACCACTTCGTGACGACGGCCGTAAAACATTCGTAGGGATGCAATCGGTTTAGGATGAATATATTTCTATCCGAGGTTAAAGTGATAGCGATTGTGATACTGTACTGGACTGACGCTCTTTCGGAATGGGAAGATTATAGCGAGTACACCCAAATAAAAATCAGATTTTTTGTGTTCTGATAAACGGATAGATAATTTTCCAAGAAGTAGACATTTATATTTTAAAAGTGTTTTTAATTTACATTAATGTAGCATGATCTCGATACCTACGCCTTGGATTTGAATTAGCACTAATAACTCAAACGTAGTAATGGACCATCTATGGAACATTCCTACAATATCCGAATTCGATAAACAAGGAGATTTTTTTAGAGAATCCTTTTTCAACTTCAGGCAATCAGTTCACATTTTTAGCTCTGGTAGCAATTTTCACAAACTTTGTAAAATTCCTTCAAGGGTAGATTTCTGCCAAATTTTATTTCTTTTTTGAAGAACAGGATAAAAAGTAACAATTTTACAGACGGCAAGGTGTCAAAGTGGTGATATTACCTTACATGACCTTTTTGGTGAGGTTAGCTAATATGTGCAGTATATATAATTTTCGTGTTTAAAAAAAAGTTTACAAATATCTAAAATTAATACAGTGTATTAGCAAAATTGTAAAAACAATATATGTGTTCATGATTCTTCATGTCTGGGAGATACCAATTAAGGTACATTGTAAAATTGTGTTGATTAAAAGAAATGAGATGTGAAATGAAAAAGGTAGTGCAGAAAGTACCGTGTTGAAGTTTTTTTTTATGTGGAGAAAAACATAAATAGTAATCTCTTTGACTGAAGATGATATTTATGAAATGAGTATGGAGATTTTGATATGTGGCAGCGCTGTAATTACTGAAACAAACATGTTTAATAATTTTTGAAGTCTGCAATGGTGCATCAATGAAATTTGAGGGGATGGGGAGGACGTTCACTGCATATTCTGGCTTGGTATGAACTGAAATAAATACATTTCCCATGACAGGATGAGAATAAATATTCTGCTCACAAAAAACAGGACTACGTCTTGTAGAATATAGAAAAAAATCAGCCTACAATCAACTTCTGTCCCTATATTGTACGGCGCATCCCTAAAAATCAAATGGTTGTTCCATTAGGCCTTGTGAGTTTGACCTTTTAAATAGAAAAAAAATGACTATCTGTCTATGAACTTTTTATTGAACAGTGCAGATTGTAAAAACTCAGGTTTAAAAATGTTTGTCATCACATTGCAGTTAATCGTTTCTGTGTAAATTGAAATTAAACAGTCCTCTATTTAGATGAGTAACATAAGAAAACTGTTTTGTTCAATTGGAAATAGAATACTTAAATAATCCATATTTGTACTTCTAATGCTAACAGCTAGATATAATGGAGATCATGTAACATGCTTCAAAATTTTCTTTATAGTTTATATTTACACTTTGGTAACCGGTTGTCTGTTTACAAATCTAAATTTCATAAATAATGTATAACAATGAAATGATCCCAATGCATATTGCATTAATAAAGTCGATTTGGAATACTGCTTTAAAAAAATTAAGAATATCATTTTGCATACTTGAATGGCAAGGTGCCATAACTTATTTTTTTGTAGACTGAATTGTGATCAATGAGACAGTTTGCTATGCGGTATATTTTATATTAAATACAATATATCCAATAATGCAATAAAATACAATCAACAATTGAGTATTTCAATACTAGTTTAAGGTATTTAAACATCAACCCTGACAAAATTAGAAAAAAAACACTAATGTAGTATTTAGTTACAGCGTATATCATTATATTAACATACCTATTTTCAGCCAGTTTTAAATTGTTTTGTTATTCATGAACGATTTAGTCATCAGGTAAGCAATGTGTTTATTCTTAACCTTATTAGATTTTTGATAAAATCTAGATATAATGCTCCAACTAGAAGCAATAGAAAAAAACAAAGTGAACATTTTGTCTGGAAGCTTATTGTCAACTAGGGTTTAGGAATTTGACTTTACTTTTTTCGACAAAGAAGTCAAACTTAAGAAGTCTGTGTACTTGAAAGGGCGTCTAGAAGATTTGGGATAAATAAATACGCACTTAGATTCGAATCAGTTTGTGAGGTTGAAAAGTAACAAACTGAATAGTTAAGACTTTACTTCCACTTATTGTTTGTTTTCCCATAGGATTCAATCTATAAAATCATTTCCGAAATTCAGAATACGTCTCAAAATAGAATAAAGAATGGAAAGAGGGAATTTGTCAAAGAGACAACAACCTGACCAAAGAGCAGAAAACAGCAGAAGATAAATAATGGGCCTTAAACGCAGCACGAAAATCCCGCAACCGAATGCGGGTTTCAACTGGCCCCTAAACAATAATGTATAAGCGAATTGAAACCCACACTAAACTCCGAAACATGCAAATGAACCAAACGTGAAGAAACACAAAAGACTAACAAAGGCTCGAGATTCCTGACTTTGGACAGGCGCACAAATGTGGAGGGGTTAAACATGTTTTGTGAAATCTAAATCCTTCCCCTTTACCCCTAGCCAATGTGGAATAAACAAACAAATAGCAATACGCACAGTAAAACTTAGTTTAAAAGAAAACCGTGTCCGGTGTTTTAAAAGGTAACAGAACAAACTGCGCGAGATGACCATAATCAATATAGATTAATAAAAGTGATGTATTTCAAACAGTTTGCAGTATGAATTTGTGTTTATCGGTTTCTCTTTGCCATGCAGAAAATTTACTACGGAGGTGTTAACCTTGTTCTTAATGACTAAACAGATGTTATTTCTTCGAAAATGTTTGATGAAATCACCAAATGCGACCCATAAAACCATTTTTATGTATTATGAAAAACACGACGAGTGTCACACTTGAAACAGAAACATTATGTCACATGTGAGAAAGAAACTTAAACGACAGAGAAAAAAAAAACAAAATATCTACAGGTTAGCATACGGTTTTTTACAAAGACAAGCTTCTCTGAAATATGTTAGGCTTTATATCGTGTATGTTGACAAGTTGGGATCCATTTAACATGTACCATATGGTGTGAATAAGTCTAGATATATCATCCGCTCTTTAGTAAGAACATCGGCGATGGCCATTATATGTTACTTTTTGAAATGCATTTTTATACAATTTCACCAGATTATCATTAACATTGCTCCTCATGTATTTATGCAACCTTTCTCAACCAGCTGTTTGCTCTGAGCGTTCCTTTTTTCAATGCAGCATATTTCTTATGATCTACTTTGATTATTTATGAAAATGTTATGTTTTCATTGTACAAAAATAATAAGTACTTGAGTTGTCGAAATTATACTTTTGTACCTTATTTCTAAAAAAACACACTCTGCTATTAGTTCGATTTCCCAAATGTAATGGCAGAAAATCGATTCGAACAAATTTCCAAACAAATCAAATTGACATTTTTAAACTGAATTTTGCTTTTAATCTTTAAATGTGAAAATAACGAGATGTGTATGATTGATCATGAGTTAACTATTCACCAAAATTAAAATGAAGTGGCTGTAAGCAATTATAGGCAACCGTACTGCCTTCAACAATAAGAAATATACCCATACCGTATAATCGGCTAAAAAAGGCCCCCACATGAAAAATGTGAAACGATTCAATAGAGAAAACTAACGGCCTAATTTAAAACAAAATAATTTACAAAAAACAAATATGACAGACATGAGCCAACGACAACCACTGAACTACAGGCTCCAGACTTGGGACAAGCAGATAACAAATGTGTTCAACATGTTTGTGAGCGCTCAATCCTCCCCTAAAATTGACAGTGGTGTTACAGCACAACACAAGTACTGTTAAAAATTGCAATTAACTTATCTCAAAAGATCGGTACGAGGCAAATAAACAGCTAACGAAAAAACAATAGACACAAAGGACCTAAACTTGCAGTAACTGAAAGCTAGTGCAAAGCCAATCACAACTTAAAGATAAATAATGATCTCCCGAACTACAGTATCAGTCTTTACACATCCAACGGATTTAGTAAAGAAACGTCATAAACAGTCTGAGAAACGCATGACCTTGTGCAATGCCAAAATATAAATGAACAGTATCGACAGGATGTAAAACCACTTATAGCAATATATATTTAGTTATATTTTAATTTTTCAAAAACAAAATCAATATTAATACCAATAAAAACAATATTTAACGATATATCTACTGTGTTAAATCTTTAAAAATAATTTAATTCATAATATCAATTAGTTTATATGGATCGCATCTAAGTTTACGGGCTTTATAAACACCATCCCCGTAAAAACTAAGATGTGATGTCCCGTTTTTGATAAAAAAAAATCCATAACAGCTATATTCCCACCCAAATTTTTGTATCTATGAAATAATTTAATCAAGATTTTAATTAATTTGGACAATTTCTCTTGAATTTTCCTTAATATTGAAATTTTAAATAAAAAAAATAATAAAAATAAACGTGGTTGAGGCCAAACAATTAAGATACATGTACATTAGACTAAGTGATGTTGTATCTATATATTGAAATATGTGTTTTACTGTACTGTCCACGAGCTGATATCTATTATAAACCATTTGGTTTTTTATTTATGAGTGTATGTTCGTTGAGAAGATGAACAGGAACATAAATTAAATATAATTACGTTGTATTTTTCGCGGATATGACATACAAAAAAGCTTGTGGTCTTAGTTCATTCATATTTTAATATTATTAAATGTATTGGCTTCAGTTATCAAATTAGATAAAATATAACAATCATTAAGTCTTTCACTACTAGTTGAAGGTATTTAAATATTTGCACAATTATAGATTGTGTGGGTGCTTTTTAAATGACTTCCGTCTTACATTACCTTAAACGGTGTATTTTAGTTACGACGTATATTATTAAATTAACGCAACTTTTTCAAAGCTACTTTGTTTTATAATATATGAAAGAATAAGTCATCAGGTAATCACTGCGATTCTTCCTATCCCTATCTATTCGATTCTAATCATTAACATTATTTTGCTTTAACCTAGATATAATGGTATAACTAGAGGCGATGGAAAAGAGAAAATAATTTTCAAACTTTAATTCTGGTAGCTCAAGGTCAATTATGGTGACTACACTTTCAACGACCACGAATTTGAACTTTATGATGATATGCACTTTCAATGATGGCTTTAATGAGATTTTTCCCGAATGTCTTTGGTGGGGTTAGTGTTGCGCAGTCTTTAGTTTTCCATGTTGTGTTTTGTGTTTTGTGTACTGTTGTTTGTCTTTTGATATTTTTCTTCTTTTTTTTTTGCCGTGGCGCTGTTTGTTTTCCCAGTTAATGCGCGCAACGCCGAATATCATTACAGAAATTCAAAATATGTCTTAAAAACTCTTATTCAATAAGAGTAATTCTCATTCCGGAGAGAAACATTATAACATGTCTTACGGCCAGAAAATAGCCTTTTAATTGTAGCCAACAAAAGACAAAAATCAATAATAAAATTTAACAAGATTTATTATACAAAAGTTTACAAGAAGTATTTTACAAAAAGAAATGTCAACTTAACTGTCAAAATATATGTCCAATGTTTTGTCTTTTCTTTATCCGGAAATCTTTTCAGGAATCCACTCAGAATATTACGTCCAATAGGTCGCAATCTAGTATGATGTAGTTTGTAAATAAAAGTGTCAATCCAATTGCTGAGAATATTAATAAAATTGAGAATGGAAATGGGGAATGTGTCAAAGAGACAACAACCCGACCATAGAACAGACAACAGCAGAAGGTCACCAACAGGTCTTCAATGCAGCAAGAAATTCCCGCACCCGGAGGCGATCTTCAGCTGGCCCCTAAACAAATATATATACTAGTTCAGTGATAATGAACGCCATACTAAACTCCAAATTGTAAACAAGAAACTAAAATTAAAAATAATACAAGACTGACAAAGGCTAGAGGCTCCTGACTTGGGACAGGCGCAAAAATGCGGCGGGGTTAAACATGTTTATGAGATCTCAACCCTCCCCCTATACCTCTAGCCAATGTAGAAAAGTAAACGCATAACAATACGCACATTAAAATTCAGTTCAAGAGAAGTCCGAGTCTGATGTCAGAAGATGTTACCAAAGAAAATAAACAAAATGACAATAATACATAAATAACAACAGACTACTAGCAGTTAACTGACATGCCAGCTCCAGACTTCAATTAAACTGATTGAAAGATTATGTCTTCATCATATGAATATCAGGCACAATCCTTCCCGTTAGGGGTTTAGTATCATACCATCATAACATATATGAGAAGAACATAACCCGTGTCATGCCAACAACTGGTTTTTAAATAAATGTGTTTAGTGCCGATGCAAAGACCCTATAAGTGAATCAATATTAACGCCAAAATATGCAATCTTTAATGACCTGACAACAGTATCGTAACTATATCCCTTCTTAATAAGTCTATTTAAAGGTTTTGTTAGCTTCAGAGGTGAATACTGACATTTTTGTGCTTTATAAAGAATATTTCCATAAAAAATTGGATGTGAAATACCTGAACGTATAAGAAGTCTGCATGTTGAGCTATATTTACGAATGATGTCCTTATACCGATGATAAAATTTAGTAAATGTTTTGACTAGTTTGTGATATCGAAAACCCTGGTGTAATAATTTTTCAGTAATACATAAATTTCTCTCGTTAAAATCTATAACATTGTTACATACACGAGCGAATCGTACAAGTTGAGATATATAAACACCGTAAGATGGTGACAAGGGAACGTCACCATCTAAAAATGGATAATTAACGATAGGAAATGAAAAATCATCTCTTTTATCATATATTTTAGTATTAAGCTTTCCGCTAATGATATA